GGACTGCATACAAGATACGGAGATCGAGGGGCACTTCCTCCCGAAGGGCAGCTCCGTTTTTTGCAACATTTATAGCATCCATCGTGATCCGAGCATCTTCCCAGACCCAGAGACTTTTCAGCCGGAGCGCTTCTGCAGACGGCCAAACCCGTCCTCCTCGTCGTTGGAGTCGAAGTCAACGGACTCGCCTTTCCGGGACTCACCAGCTGCTGCAGAACAACCTGATATCGATCACAAGGCTCCCGACTTCGGTGGCATGGGTGCCGCCGATGGTGCTCCTCTTCTTGGTTTCGGCATCGGTCCTCGACGGTGCCCCGGCCAGGGCTTCGCAATGTTAGAAATGAAGATTGTCTTGATTCGCCTGCTTCGGAGTTTCGACTTCACACTTCTTGCGGATGATGCACACGACACGATGCTTGATGTCAGAGCAGATGTCACAGTGAATCTCAAAAGTGGTCTTCCTGTGGCTGTGCGTCATCGCCACGGCCGCCATGGCTAAGGGACCGCCGGGGGCCAAGTCCCAAAAGACTTAACCAAATTCTCGATTTCTGACGGTAGATTGTGAAGATCAACGGCCAGAAATGAAGAATCCGGCCAAGTGGGAGTTTCCCCCGGGATCCAAATTCACTCTTTGCAAACTACTACGAACAAAAAGAAATAGTATAATTAAGTTTTCTTCTTCAGTTTTTTTTTTAAACTTCTTTAACTTTTTCTTTTCTGGTATTTCGATTGAAGAAGGGGCACGAATTCAAATTCGACTTCAGACTTCAGCTATGATCCTGGCTGATTCATAATGCCACCTTATGCAGGACTCGACTCCGACTCTCCGAGATATTGCCAAGTGTCACAACTGAAGAAGAAGTGGATTTAGATCAGGAGAGAAAGAGAATGAAAATGACAAGAATGAAGAAAGTAGAAAGTAGAAAGTAGAAGGTAGAAGAACAGGAGATTGTGTCAAAGTTAATCAAACCATTGTATTATATCTCCTTCCTCCTCTCCGCATTGTGGTCAGCCCTCACATAATCGTACTCGATGGAAAAGACGGGCCTACCAAAAAGGTGGCGGGGGGCTGGGTGCCGGTTCCAGGTTGCGGGTTGATGGGCCCAAGAGAAATAGTTCCACAGTGGGTGCTCAGCAAAAATAGTGCCACACCGGCGCACAGGGAAAAAAATGGACACGGAGGGAGGGAGAAACTATGCCGCAGAGAGAGGAGCAGTGCCACGGTAGACACTGGAAGGGAAAACAGTTCCGCCGGGCAGTGGCTGATATATGCTCGGCAGCTTCGTGGATGTCAACATGATCCGTGCCGTGCTTTATGTGTGTGCTGGGGTTGTGGTGGTTGGTGGCCATTGGTGTTATTCGGCCAATCGTGCAGTGTTTCAAGTTCGATGGTCGCGCTGATCGATGTTCAGGTGTTGAGAGCGGTTTTCAGTTGTGTGTGTGTGTGTGTGTGTGTGTGTGTGTGTGTGTGTGTG